GAAATTTTACTGAACAAGACTCACAATTTTGGATATCTCTTCAGTCCTTTCTTTTGCTGAATAACAATACTTAGAAGCACGATAAGAGTCAACCAGCGTCCGAATAGCTTCTGTCGTGGTTACTTTTTCCAGAGGATCGTCAGTAGCCTCAAACTGATGGACATGCCAAACAGAAGATTGAGTTAGATGAGTAGAGGTGTAAAGCCACTCCTTTCTGTTTCACTGTATGCTTCTTTTTGTTTCTCGGAATAGCAGTGGATTAGTGCAGAGTTTCTCCTATATATACTTTGATGAGACTCTTCTTGAGAGACTCAAGAAGAGTTTCTCAAGAAGAGTTTCTCCTATATATACTTGGATGAGACTCAAGAAGAGAGCGACTAATGACTAATGTATCTTTAAAAAGTTATAAAATGTTTCGGGAAAATAATGTATGGATTTCATATACACAGAAGGGAAAAAAGTTTTAATGCACATTGGAGGATATGGATGTGTTGCACAAAAATGTGGAGTTATATGGGGGATAGGATGAACTTCATTATGAAACCATCAACACACATGATGCAATAATAAATTTTAAGGGGCTAGTTATTATAATTTGGCCAAACTTCATGGATGGTTCTAGCAATCTTCAGTTTTTTGCTTTAAGTTATATATTTTCATAATTGAAATGAAATTGAATCTGTAATCACCCTAGGAAACCACAGTATGATTCACATTCTGAGGTCATCATATTAGGATTTTGTTGTGGATATTTGGAAGCAGGAGAAGGACTACCATTTTGGTACATACCCTTATTTTCATTGATCCTTTCAGTGTAGCTTTAACCTGGTCAAAATCAGAGTTGATGCAACGGAGGAAATGATCAGAGGGGTTCCGTAAAGCTGGACATGGAAAGCCAGCTTGAGCAAAAAACTGCATATATACACCATTACAAACATTTATGGTTAAAGTTCAATGGGAAGGAAAACAAGAAGTGAAAGAATTGTTGCCTCGTATGCTTCGGAAGCCTGGCCAAAGTAAATGGTTTTTCCACCAGAAAGTAAGTATAACCTGTCAAACAGCTCAAAAACTTCACTACTGGGCTGGTGAATTGAGGCTATGACTGTTCGGCCATCTCTGGACAGCCCACGCAAAGTCTGGGTAACAAAGAATGCTGATGCGCTGCCAAATTATTTACACACTAAGGTAACTATTCAATCGATCAATGAGTGATTATCCTATTTAGATAGATTTGAACTCTGAAAATCATCCATCGTATATTATATTATATATTACATCATATGTGATCGATCATATATACCTGTCAAGACCACTGGTGGGTTCATCAAGAAAAAGTAACCTTGGTCTCATCAGGATCTCGACAGCAATGCTAACACGTCTTCTTTCTCCACCACTCACACCACGCAAGTGCCAATTCCCGATGACTGTCTGCGCAATCTTGAAGTCCCATCTCAATGATTGTGCTCTCAACCAGTGCCCGTTTGTCTGCCCACGGCATTCTATCCGGCAGTCTCAGCCGGGCCGAATATGATATTGTTTCACGAACCGTCAGGGTGCCGATCAAGTTGTCATCTTGCGTTACATAGGCCTGCATATATTAATAAGTAGTTAATTAAGCAGGCTGACAGGTCAAAAATATTAATGGTGGTACAGGTACAGGTACAGGTACAGGTACGGACAGCAGTCCCAAACGATAAGTTGGCCTTGCGGCCATTAACCAGAATTAGCCCTGAAACGAATGTATTGGCAGCAAGGCGGCCAGAAAGGGCATCGAGCAACCTGGATTTTCCGGAGCCAGAAGGGCCCATGAGAGCAGTAAAGGATCCAGGCTCTGCGAACCCACTCAGTCCCTCCAAAACATTCTGAGTGTTTCCATTGCTGAGGGTGACGGTTACCGTAAGATCTTTCCAAGCCAGCCTGGCCGACACGTCACCCACAAATTCTGTGTCGGTTCTCTCCTTCCACAGGCTTTCACTCAAAGGGCTAAGCCCTCCAACAACCAGACCATTTCCTTGTGGCTTGTGGGCCTCTATCTCCATTACTACTTCCTCTGCACCTGCTGCTGCTGATGATGAGCTCTTCATTGGTCGGTCCATCTCCTATCCTTTTATTTTAAAGAAAAAAAAAATGATTATCAGTAAAAACTAATCAAATATATGTATATTCTGGTGAAGTGGATAAAACTTCTGCTTAACTTGTGAAGGGTAAGCTAGCTAATTGGGAAATGGGTTTTATATGAAAAACGCAAAAGTTGTGTGCTTAACTGGAGAGGTTGCTCATGAGATGAATTTCGCTAAGAAATTTGGTCTGCCCGGTTGTTTCTAAATTAATGAATCAATCACACATGGCCAATATGCAGATGTCTTTCTGTTATCATTTGAGGTAGTTATCCATCTTCAACTTCTCAACAGCTAGATTGCACACATATGTTGGACTTTAATTTAGTCTAAAAAAATTTCAAGTATGGAGTATATTGTGAAGAATCAATGTGAGTGGAAAAAACT